TTTCAAGGCGGCGGGTCAGGTGAGAATGTTGGAGATTAGGGTAGTCGTTTAGGTTTAATTATGGAAGGGCGAGTCTTGGTCGTTGATCTTGAGTGATCAACGGTCCAGATTTAAGTGGTAGGTGGGGAACGAGTTGGGTCATTTGTAATTAGGTCGTGGGTCGGATCCAGATTGAAACTGGGTTGGTTTAAATTTGGACGGAATTGGGGTCAAATTGAGGTTAATTGAAAGGAAATGAGGTTGTAATTAAAATAGAAATAGGCTAAATCTTAAATAGCCAATTTTCCTCTTTTATTTTATAAAAATAGTGAAAAGGACTTTAAAACAAATTAAAAGTACTGACCCAACTAACAACGCATAAATATTGATTTAAAAATATTGAAACCAATTTTACAATTATAGAAATGTTATTAATCTTAAAATAGGCTATAATTGCAATTATGCAATTTAGTCTTTTAAATACCAAATAAATTTGTAAAAATGTACAAAAATTATCTTAACTATATTTTGGTATAAATATGGGAATAAAATAAATTATTCACCAAAATTGATGATTTTGGGAATAATTATGGATTTTGTACTACTAAAATGGATAGTAAATTGATTTTAAAAACTCTTCAAAAGATTGGAAAAATACTAAAACACTTGGGTATGCTTATGTATGCATATATATACTATTTTGAAAGTATTTTGTATATAAAAATACATAGGGAAAAATTGGGTATCAACACGTGGCATCGATCATGCAATCGATATTCGGTAGAGGAAAGGACTCATTAGGGCATGCTTTGTTTAAGTCTTTATAGTCTATGCACATTCTAAGCTTATTCCCCTTATTGGGGACTACAATTACATTTGCCAACCATTCGGAATATTTTACTTCCCAGATGGATCCTATTTTGAGAAGTTTGGTTACCTCATCCTTGATGAATGCATGCTTTACCTCGGATTGTGGCCTTCTCTTTTGCTTCACCGGTCTGAACTTTTGGTCAAAACTCAATCGACGAGTGGTAATCTCCAGTGGTATCCCTATCATGTCAAGGTAGGACTAAGCAAAATAATCCATATTTTAAATTAGGAATTTAATTAGTTTTTCCCTGAGCTCGGGAGTTAACCCCGTGCCCAGTTATACCTTTCGATCGGGTAGATGCTCGATCAGTATGACTTGTTCCAGTTCTTTCACCATTGACTTTGTGGTCTCGGAATCATCGGGAATTACGATGGTTTGAGGTGTCGCATAATCATCATCCTCGAGAGTTTCCTGCTGTTTCGATCTGGTCGAGGTCGGTGACTGTGGTTGCTATTTGACTTCCTACTTTTCCTTCGATTCTGGTCCCTTTGTTGATGTTAGTGTCGATACTAGTATCACCTCATAATTGCAAACATCTCTTTGGCTGCTGGTTGTTCGCCGTACCCCATTTTGATTCCTTCCGGTGTTGGAAATTTCAAGACTTGATGAAGCATTGAAGGTACCGCCCTCATATTATGGATCCAAGGTCTCCCAAGCAGCGCGTTGTATCTCATATCACCTTTGATTACGTGGAACTTTGTTTCCTGGATAGTTCCGGCCATATTTACTTGCAACATGATTTCCCCTTTGGTGGTTTCACTTGCCATGTTGAAACCATTGAGCACTCAAGCTGGAGGCACGATTTGATCCTAAAGGCCAAGTTGCTCTACGACCCTTGATCGAATAATGTTCGCCGAGCTACCTGGATCAACCAACACACATTTAAATTGAACTTTATTCATAAGGATAGATATTAACAGTGCATCGTTGTGAGGTTTTTCAATTCCTCATACATCCTCATCGTTGAAAGATAAGGTATCCTCTAATAAGTAATCTGTAGTGCGTTTCTCCTTTGTGATTGTCACTTTGGTGCGTTTGAATATCGGGCCTTGAGGAACATCGACCCCACCAACTATCTTATGAATCACGTGATGTAGTTCTTCCTGTTTATTTTTCCTGTTTGTGTCCCTGTCTTTGAATTGATTTTTAGCTCGGTCATTCAAGAACTCTCGAAGGTGACCCTCGTTGAATAAAAGAGCTACCTTCTCCCTTAACTGTCTGCAGTCTTCGGTTCTGTGATCGTGGGTTCCATGGTACTTGCACATTTGATTTGGATTCCTTTGAGCTGGATATGTCTGTAGGGGTCTGGTTCACTTAGTATCATTGATTCGTCCAATGGCTGACACAATACCTGAAGCATCGACGATGAAGTTGTATTCCGATAATCGTAGCGCTTCTTTAGGCTCGACATGTTTATCGAAGCCACTCTTACTCATGAGCCCTCGAGAATTTTGACCTCGATCATTTCGGACGGGATTACATCCCGGTTCGTTATTTCTACGATCTGCGTTATATGGTTGGTACCAATCTCTGTTCGATTGGGGCTCTCTGTCAATGTCTCTTTGAATCTTGCTTTTGAATCTATTTGGGTAAACGGAACCGGACGAGGCCCCTAACTGATCATCCTCGACTCTGATCTTTGACTGGTATCGATTATGCACATCGGCCCAGTCGCCGCTAGATATTTTATCAAATTCTGCTTTAGTTGACGTAATGCTACAAAACTTCGCTCGTTCAAACCCTAAGTAAGGGCTTAGATGGCTCAATCATCGGTAACCGGGGGTAAGTCTATGTGTTCCATCTGAAATCGAGATACAAATTTCCTTAGCATTTTATTGTCCTTTTGTCTCACTATAAAGAGGTCTGACTTCCTAGTTGTGACATTTATTGCTCTGGCGTGTGCCTTTACGAACGAATCGGCAAGCATGGCGAAAGAATCGATGAAATTGGGTGGCAAGTTATGGTACCATATCATGGCCCCCTTCAATAAAGTTTCTCCAATTTTTTTCAACAGAGCAGATTCAATTTCATCGTCTTCTAAGTCATTTCCTTTTATTGCGTATGTATAAGAAGTGACATGCTCATTAGGATCAGTGGTTCCATTGTACTTGGGAATTTCTGGCTTGCGAAATTTTTTCGGAATGGGCTTCGGAGCCGCACTTGGTGGGAAAGGCTTCTGTACAAACGTTTTTGAATCCAAACCCTTCAAAATCGAGGGTACCCCCGGTATTTGATCAACCCGTGAGTTGTAAGTTTCTACCTTTTTATCATTAGCCTCAATTTTCTTTTCTCCTGATTCAATCTGTTTAGTGAGCTCCTCGAGCATCTTCATGATGGCGGGGTCATTTCCCCATCCATTACCGTCCAATTTCTCATGTACAGGTTCGACCCTATGAACAACTTCCTATGATGTATCGAGTTCGATTCTGCTTGGTGCTCGATTCAGATTTAGGAGTTGCGCTATCGCAGCCTGCTGAGTTTGTAACATGTCAAATATCATTCGAAGGCTAATCCCGCCTTCTTCACCACTCTGTGCATTCTGATCGGTTAGCCGGGTATCTCTGCAGACGCTATTTTTAGGGTCGGCGCCTAAATCTCCACGAATGGCGATTCGGGAACTGACATCGACTGGATCTATGGCCTGTGGTACATCGGGATTGATCGAAGGTACTCCGTTTCCCGGGGTGACCATGTGCTCGTTCTCGCCATGAAGACCAAGGCTGGAATCTGTGTGAGTGGGTACTGCTTGAGAGTTCGACATGTTGATTCCTGAAATAAAAAACACTTATGAAAATAAGTGTAAAAGCAGTGTGTGTTATGAAGGTTAATATTAAGCAATCACTATTATCCTTAGCCCCACGGTGGGCGCCAAAACTGTTTTCCCTAAAAATTGGATAACAACTAAACTTATAATGTGGTTTTAAGGATATGTGTTTTCACCTAATATCAATTGATAAATGTAAAGGTAAGTGATGCAAATTGACAATAATATAAAGCAAACCAGCATTTGGACAGAGCCCTCGATCTAGTTATGCAAGAATAGTTAAAGGCATAATAAGCTAATGAACAAGAATGTAAGCTAAGAAATATTATATTGCTTTGATATTTGTCAATGTAAGGTGCCTACAAATGATGGGTACTCCTCTTTATACAGTAGAGGAATCCTAATTATGATATAACTTTAATTACATAAGTAAATCTCATGATTAGCATAAACACCCGTCCTTGATCTGATCTGTTCCAGAATTTTCGCCGTGATCTTCAACCGGTTACGGATATCTCACATTTGCGTTATTGTGCTTCGTTCGAAGTCTGTCGTATATGATCTCGATCGCTGTTGGCCTCGATCTCGACGTACACCTTAACTCTCGAGCTCGATACCTTATCTTTGTGTTCTGACCTGACCCACTATGAGACTAACTCTCGACGTGATTTTCCGATCTTCAATTAAATAGCAAAATCGGACAAGTCCTATTTTAACCGTATACAGTGAGCCAGTGGATAATGCTATCAACGACCAAATTTGAGTTAAAAAATTATCTATAGATACAAACAAGTTATCCTTTTCTGTCTCGTATATCGCTGCTAAATATAATGCGATATTTATCACTTTATAGATGCTAGGGAGCAAAGTATATATCGCCGAAGGAGTTCTGTTGGATTTGTGCTTTCAATTTTGTGGCAAAAGTTAAAGACAGTACACTCAAACTCCAATAAAAGTTCTTGGAATTCAAAGTAATACGGGCTTTAACTCCATGAATTTTCCTGGAATTCCATTATATATTTCAAATCCAAGAATAATTCCTAAGGTTTTTTAAACTTCAGTAATAATTCCTGGAATTCTTCCATATTTTAGGAATTAATGAAAATAATCTCCCAGGCCAAGTCTTCTTCCTTCTTACAGTTTAACATAAGGTGATTATTAACACTTTTCACTGTAGTTTGGAGGGTATGGTCTATGTCCTCCATGTAGTAACCTTTTTTTTTTTTGCCAAAACCCCAGCATCCACCAATGGTGGGCTTTTGTAATAACAAAAAGTAGTACTCGTCGATTTCACTTCAAATGTTTTCAAACGAAAAATGAGAAATGAACTTACGATATAAAATGGTGCAAAACCTCAAAATTACAAGATAATTGAGTCAATATATGTGGATTGCAAAAGTCAAAAAAACATCTATCCATTAATTTTAGCCGGGCAATTTAGCCTCAACCTTTACAGATTACTGGTTTAACCATTCATCATTTGGCCTCTCAATATTGCCAAAGACTATGTACAGAAAGATGACACAAAATTTAACTACTATTGGGTTCAATTAGGACCCCAACAGCTCAAATACATGACTTTCCTAAGAGACTCCTCAGACTGCTTCAATTGGTGTTTGTTTGCAGAAACCAAAGAAGAAGAGTGAGAAGAGAGCTTCTGGGCCTGTGAATATGACCTTACATTGTTCTTTGCGTGTTGATGTATTGTTCTCAAGGTGTAATTCCACCTACAAATTCCTTGATCTTTCAGTGCCTCTACTACTCCCAAGCTCGCTGCTGTAACCCATGCCCTGTTTGTTGAACTCATTTTCTAATTCTTGAAACTCTTTGCTAAGCTTTGGCAAGGGTTATTTTGCTGGAAAAGGTTTACGAATGCTTGTATAAAATGTAGGTTGAATTCTCTCCGTCTATATATAATGCCCATTTGCACATACAAATAAGAGCTGGAAAAAGAAAAACCCAAAACAAGAGGCTTTTGGCTGTGCTTCCTGTGGTTTTGGAGCACAGTTTTTCACTTTTGGAGTTTGGTGTGAGGCTGTGAATGTACATTTCCGTTTCCGCCCTTGCTATATTTTTTTATGATCACAAATATTGGGGTGTAGTTGGTATTTCAATTATTAACACTTGAGAGAGGGTCCGTTGGTCGAAAGAGCACACAGAAATTTGAGTTGTTTGTAGTACTTGTTAGATTCGAGAACACACAGAGTGACATGTGCACTTGCTACAATGAGATACGCAGAGTGACATGTGCTGATATTGCCAATATATAGATAAATAAATACGTAAGTGAATCTAGGACTGGGGCACACGGATTGCCTAGGTTAAAGATACCATGGGAAAGAATCTTGAAAATAGAAACCACATAACTGATTGGTGTCACGTATATTATGACGTGAAACACTGTTTTAAATCTAATATAGAGAGTGACTAGTGGTAATAAAGTTCTTGTTTCTACTAATAAAAAATAGAAGCAAGGTCATATCGCCTTAATTAACAAAAAATGAAGATTAAAAATATAGAATGACCTAATAATAAGATCCTTAATTATTTCATAAAATATATATAGAAAATCTACAAAAAAGAGTGACAACCCTTATCATGGTAAGGAAATGTAAAATCAACAATGGAGTAATTAGATAAACCTTTTGACCCAAGTGCATGAAATTGGGGATCTAGAGGAAGCAATCCAAATGTAAACACTCTGTCACAGCTAAGAGTAAGGTTAATACAGAGAAACCTAAAGGGCAAGTTCTTTGTTTATGATCGTATTTGAAAGTACAGATGCAAACTCCCGTTATATCGATCAATGGTACAATTAAGTTAGCCAATTGGTACAAGTCTTTGGTCATCTCCAGCTTAATTATGCTTTTCCACATTACTTAATGTATCAGCCACAACATTTGCAATGGGGCACGGCTAAGTAATCTTTGCACCTTTTTTCAATTTTTACTTCTTTAAGTCGTTATTGCCACTAGATCTACACTTGATCTCTTAAGATCACAGGAGACGAGACTTATCTACCATTTGCTGAATATTAATTTATGTATTCAGACTTCTAAAACTAAAATTAAGAGTATCGTTTGCAGCATGTTGAAGTGAATGCAAAATACTAAACGATCTGTCATATCATCATTTCATCAAAATATCAACAGTATTTCGTAGTAATTTTTCTCATCCTTGGAAAGATTCGAAATAATATACATGCTTCTCTTGAAGTGGCATGACTTAAAAGTCTATTTACAACCACAACTATACATTTTAACGACGTTTCTCTAACAAAAATCAGTTAATTGGGACCCCAACAGCTCAAGTACATAACTTTCCTCAAAGATTCTTCAGATTGCTTTGCCTTGTCGCTTCTTGCAATCGGCGAGGAAGAAGAGGTAGAAAGCTTCTTAGCTTGAGAGTAAGATCTCATGTTATTCTTTGTGTGCTGAGCGAAGGACCTCAAAGGGTAATTCCACCTACAGAAACCTTGATCTTTTAAAGCTTCCACTGCTCCAACACTCGCTGCTATTATCCACGCTCTCCTGCTTGAACTCATGATATATGGTTTTCTTTCTTCTAAAAGCTCCTTTATTTTGCTTTGGTTTTAGTAACAAGAAACCTTGCTTTTGGTTCTCCGATTTTTTGATACTAGGATTTGATAATTCTGAGGATGATGTTTGAAAATTTGGGGTAAAAGATGAATATATTGGCACAGAAAAGAAGTTGAATGAATAGGAGAAAGAGACATTAATTAGTTAGAGTGCTAAAAATCGTGATAAACCACCGGCTCTTTAGCTAGCTGTGTGCTCTCTGTATTGCAGCTAGTGGTTTTGTGGAGTAAAGGGGAATGCATTTAGTTACTGGTTTATACTTCCTAATTTATTTGACTGATTTCAAAAATAATTATTTCAAATTATTTGTCACTTAAAGTATTTTTTTCTTTCTATTTACCTTTAGTGGTATAATTGTTTTGAAGACGATGACAACAATAACAACAAATAGAATTTTACTAGTGAGATCTGAGGAGGGCAGAGTATATGCAGACTTTATCCCTACCTCAAAGGGATAGAGAGGCTGTTTCCAGAGATCATCGGCTCAGAAATAATAGATCTGTAACAATAACAGAAATCAGAAAAATAGTATCAATATTGTAAAAGATAACAAATAAATAGAAAGGCTAAAAAAAGTGTGAAACACAACAAAAACCCACTAGTCCTAAACAAAAAACACTACAATTACCTTAATTACAGGGTAATATTATAAGTATTCAAATACAATAAGATATAAATAAAGGTACGATAGTCATCAATACCTCCTAATTACTGTAGTATTTTATTAAGAGGCGTAAAACATAGACACAGACAAATAATTTGACATGGGAGTACACTATTTTTCAGAAGAAAACAACATGTTGGACCACAGCAGTTGGTTTTCTATAGCACTTTGGAAAATTAGCCCTCAGCAAGTTTAGGAGCTTCGAACCTGGATGGTTCAAAAGATTCGTTTGATCTCTTAATAAAAAAAAATAGTATTAGTACCCACATGATATACGGACATAATCCATATCAAACAATAATTTGAATTATTTGAATTATGTGCAAATAACCTTAAAATTAAACCTTCTATAGAAATTATAAATAATTATTTAATATTATATTAATTAAGAAGCATCACATGAAACCATTTCCAAATCTCATAGTAGATAATCTGTTTTCTTTTTCTATATTTGTAAGAACCCAACCTCATAATTTTGACACTTGTATTATATTTTACGGTCAATATTAAGGGATACTAAACATGTAATGTTGTAATCTGTCTTGTTTGAGTACATTAAATTATATTATTTTAACAAAATTCTTATTATCACTTTTTTTTTAATCTCAAATTCAAATAAGTCTTATCCTTCTACATTGTTAGACAATTTTTTTTCTCTTTATTGTTCATTGCTTATAGTTTTTGCATGATTTATTACTTAATATCGTTATACTGTAATGTGATTTTTTATTAGCTTATAAATTGACTTAATGTCTTGCTTATTACCCTTTTAATAATTATTAATAAATGTAAAAAAAATCATTCTCAAAATTTAATGTGTTTTTACACTATTATCTTCTTACTCGGATCTCTTTCATCATTTAAATCTATTAATAATATGTTTGAGTATTATTTAATAATTTTATTTATTTAAAATAAATTTAAAAATAAAAGTATCCTCACACTATCTCTATTTTCCTCTTTGCACATTCTCTTCCTTACTAAGAAATTGTAATTAGCTTTGTACATAAATATTTTACCTATACTCAAAATAATATCATATTTTACTTTAAAATATAACTTTAAATTAGTCTAAAAATTACCACATCTGCTTCAATTTAGATGGCATATTTCGCTTATCGATAATCAAATTGACTAAATTTTGAAGCTAAATTAAATTAGTTCAACTTAGTATTTTAAAATCAAAATTTAGATATACAAAACTACACGAAAAGTACTACTATAAGTTACAATTTTTCTCATGTCAATATGATAATAAAATATACTTTAAAATGTTGGTCAAACTTCATGTAATTTGACTCTCGATAAGCGAAATGGGTCATCTAAATTGAACCGAGGGGAATAATACATAAGTTCTTTTATAACGTTTCAAATCCTATTGAATTTTCTTATAATAATTTTTTGTATTACGTGCATTTATTTTGTATTTTATTTTAGTTTCAAGATACAAATTTGGCTTTCAATTTTCATTAGTGAAGTTACCTACATGCATGAGATATTTATTTATTACATTTAAATTTTTAATTTACTATCATTTTTTAGTTTTATTTATCTATCAAGACTATTTTGTGGCTATATTCGTATTTTGAGCGTACTCATCATAACTTTAAGGTCTTTCTAATCTCAAGTTCAAATAGTATTTTTCTTTTATTTTCAATATAGATTTTTTTGAATTTTAATTAGTTTTCTTACTTTGGCTATAATGTTATCTAATATGTAATATTATCACGTTTTCATATGATTTTTTTAACTTTTCACTTTATTTAATATTTTTATTCGCCACTATTTTTAATATAATATAGATAAATATGTAATTTTTATATTAAATTAAATAAATTTTTATTTTTATAAATATTGATTGAAATTCTTAAATTATATAAACTTATCGATAATATTTTTAAGTATTGTATATTTACTATATTTTATTTTCTAAAGTAATTCTTAGTAGATATATCCTCACATTATCTCTAATTTATTTTATTATTCAATATTTTTAATTTTTTCCCTTATTTGTTAGATTTTAGTTAAGTGTCCTTATATACATGCATGTCATTTCTTATAATACTTAAACAAAACTTTCTCATCTCAAATTTAAATAAGTTTTATCCTTTTTCTTTTGTATGATGAAATTTTTGATTTTTTTTCTCTATATGTTCCTTAGTTTTAGCCTAATATTAAGCTTGACTACCCTCTTTTTAATATATATATATATATAATTATTCTTGTTATTAAAATATTTTCAATAATTATTTATGTTTTTCTCTTACTTTATAAATTATTTATATATTTTATGTAATGTCTTATTTTTATGCTTGAAATTTTTTAATTCTTAAAGTGATCAAATCTTTAATATTTTACGTAAATTTTAGTTTTATTTTATATTTTAACTTACTCCAAAGTATAAATAATCATAGGTTATCCCAATTTACGTAATTCTGTATTTTATTTAATATTTTATCACAGTTTTTAAATTAATTCTTTAACTCCATATTTCTATCTAATATAGAAGTAATTTATGAGTGGATCAGTACAGAGATTAGATTTGTCTTAGATTATGTATAAGATTCATTCAACTACTTTTATTAATTATGTTTTCATTTATACTTTGTAATTATAGATATTGTCTTAAAATTGCCAAGTGACTTCATTTTAGCTTGCCACTTGACTTAACCATAATGCATACTATCCTCCATTAAATATAATATAGATATAGATTAAGATTTTAATTGAAACATCTTAGTTAAAATTTACCTAACTGTGATTTACTTTTTCAATTCAACAATTGTTAGGAAACAGTCGTATTCATTAATAGTACTAAAGTAATAAAACAGTAAATAAATCTGTTAGGGGACATTATCTGAAAAATCTTGTTGCTGCTTTCCACAAATAAAAGAATTTTTAGGCACATGCAATAAACAATGCTACCACATGACAATTCAAAATTTACAAAATTCCATAGGCATATATTCTTGGAGAAAAAGTGGTTAAACAAATCTGCGGACCAAAACCACTGGTTTTTCTTTATAGTAAAAGGGTGTTTAATAAAACACGAAAAAAAAAAAACACACACGTGTTGAAGTCCTCCATGACTTTATAAGGCTGAAAACCATGTGCATTTCCACTTAGCTTTAGCAACCAAATAAATCTTAGTGTAACAACTTACAAGGGCATACAAATTAAGTAGGATTTCAAAAGACTTTTTCAATCTCTAATCTTGCGTTGTTTTAGATCAGTAGTTAGTTCCCTCCCCTAAAAGAATTTCCCAGAAAAAGGAAACTAGACAAGTACAAGGGCTACACTCATAAAGAGAGAACAATGTGCTACATGATGGTAGCAGGAATTAAGCCTTCTCCGGCGAGTTCCTCATCGGAATCCGGCAACGGAGGCCGGCTGAGATTGTTTTCCGGCAGCGGAGATTCAGGGAAGAAAGCATTCATGGATGATCAGAAGCGCAGAGTTAGGGAGGCTGAAAAGACTGAGAAAATTATGCATCTTATCTTCTGGGGACCCAAATAGTCTCTCTTTCCGTCTGACTATTTGGCCTAATATTATATACGTCGTACATTTTGCTGTAAATATTTCTCCTTTTCTTTTTCATTTTGTTAGTCTTAAGCTTTGTTTCTCTATGATGAGTCTAAGGTTGTGGAAGTTTTAAGCTAAATCAGTTAAATATCTTGGAGTCTGTACTATGTATAAAGAAATAGAAGTTTCTCTCTAGTCAATATGTTGTATAACAAATTGTCAATGGGAGACTTTCTCTTGGCTAAAAAGAGCTATGGCTTCTCTTATTTTCAATAGTGATGACATATTTAATACTCCATTACGGTGCGAGGAGAAGCTTTATTTTGGGTCTCATATAACTTACACTAGTGATATGAAGTTCCTTTTTGTTTCACAAATTTGTAGACCCCCATCTTACACTTCTGGGTCCACAAAAATTTGGGTCCACAAAACTATAAGACAAAAAGATTGTCTCATATAATTAGTCTCAATTGTATGAGACACAAAATAAAATTTTCCCGATGTGAGTGTAGCGGCTGACAATCTAAGAAATATTATTTGGTGAAAGAAATCTTTATCGAGTAATTATTATTGACTTGATGCTGAGTTTATTGGAAAAAAAATGATTTGCAAAATTTTTTATGGATAATTATTTGAGAAATTCAAAAGTTTTTTTTTTTTTTTGATAATAGGGATCTTATTCATAGATATCACATAATAGTAGAGTTCATACAACCATAGTCGCCCAGTAGGGCATTTACTACTTGGCTACTACATACCATGTCACGTAGGACATTTTTGTTCCCAAAATAAGCTAGTCTAGAGCAAACGTCGTTGCTAACATTTTTAATAACATAGGTTAAGTTTTCCAAGTTAGATCTTAAGACTTCAGTTGCAAAATGAGGCGGGTATGTAGAATAGTAAGATCCCTGCATTTGTTGTCACTCAGTGCTCTCTTACCCATCTTGTGTGCCAGCTTGTTGGCTTCCCTGAACGTGTGGTTGATTACCTGAACCTTCAGTTGATTCATTAACAACTTG